ATTAAAGTACATTTATATACACCTGCAATGCCTATACCATAGTTATAACAAAGGATTAAATTTAATCTAATAATTAAGAAAATAGGTATTTGATTGAAAACCACTATAGCAGAATGGAATTCACAGATTTTAACACGATTAAAAATATTATATTAACAATACGAACATGGTAATTATTGTGTTGTTGTACCTTACAAGTCCACTACAAAAAATATGAAATGATCGACTGGTGACACATGCTAGTAAACAACATTTAATAATAATATATTTTTCATGGTAAAAAAAAATTTAAAAAAAATTAAAAACCTCACTAGCAATGCTTAATATGTACTGTTCATGAGATTTTAGGAATAATATACAGCTCTACATTTGATTAAAAAAAAAAAAAAAAAAAAAAAAAAAAAAAAACATAAAATGTGTCTGTATTTGAATATGTAAAAACATAAATAACGTTAGATTTCGTACTTTATAAGAATTAAAAATAAATTCAGGAGAATGATTGTGGATGTAGTAAATTCTGTAAGAACAARTGCCTACAAATTACAATTGATTGTTTTTACTATTGTTCGATAATATTATTATTATTATTTGTTAATTGAATAAATTAATTGACAYTTTYTTTTTACTCAGAATCGGTTAATAATAATTAACAGTATCCACAAATTGAAACAATTACAGTCAAAACATGTCTCCTATAATATAAGTTCGTTCCTAGTTTAGTTTTTAATATTTTCCATATTATTATAAGATAGATAATATTATTAATAACTAATAGCTAGGYGACATTAAAATCATATTGTTATATCATTTTCCCTAGGTAGGTATTCATTTTGTCACTGATTATGAATATTATGTCGGCACCTATTTAATTTAATGACAACTCATCGAAAGGGTGAATAATTTCTATGCACTCGTGTAACCAAAGATTTTGCAAGGAAAACATTGACAAAATATGTTTTAGATAAGAGGCATACAATACGGAATCCTTAGAAGTTCTCCAGTTAAGGACATTTGATATTGACTTATAATTGTGTTCTTATACAACCCTATAGTATTACGCAATAGTTAAAATTAATTAGTTATATAATTCTATAACATAATAGGAGTTGGTAACAAAATCATCAATGGAATGTCATACTCATAATTGGATTTATAGTTGGTTCATTCCACTTTGACTTCTTACTTTTCGGCAAATAGATTAAAATGTATTTGAAACCTTATCCTGTTAAATGGCGTTGTTCATACACGTAAATGTTTACCAATTTTTTTTTATTATTATTATTATTGTCTAACGTATATTGTATACGTTCAGCTAATATTAATACACAACATCCTAATTATTGCAGTGRTTATTTTCTTACAATATTTAATCTAAGTCCTATTATATTATATAAACTAATTTTAAAATACATCTTATTTAAAATGTCCAAACAATTTTATTTATCGCCAAAAAATGAATTGAATGGTATAATATATACCTTAGAATTGTGTTAGGTATTTATTTACAAAAAATGTTTTATGMATTTWATAATTTTATWAATCAATAAATTATTTGATTTTTTTTATGTTATTATATTTTTGACATGCGACTAAAAGGTATTTTTTAAGAGACACATTCATAATGATTTTGTAAATTTAAATTTTAAATTTTAAATTTTATAATTTTACTTTTATATTGTTAATTATATTAAGTAAGTACATCTTACATCTTACGCTGRTCATAATTAAAACAATACTTTCAGTAGAGATAATCACATTTTATAAATTGATTACTTCATTTAATAATTCTATCAACAAAAATAATTAAACAACATGCAAATCAGTCTAAGAGCGCAAGGTTATTTTATTTCAGGTAACAGGTTCGAACAACATTTTATTTACACGCGACATATAATATTCAAATAATCATTTGAATAAAATATTTAGCAATACTTCAGGAAAATCAATGTAGTGATGAAACATTATAAAATAACTAATCATCTGATTCATATTATGGAATCTATTATTATTTATTTAATTTAGCCATGTTATTACACAAAACCAGTTTTTACATAAACTGAATTAAAAAAGAATTTATCAATTTATTAACTAATATTTGTTTTCGTTTTCCAATGCAAATACTATTATGAATATAATATTAACATAATATATAATTGATAATTATTTACTTGCATTATATTAATTATACATTTCTGGTCAACTACAAACTTGGAAAGCTATAAAAAGTATTATTATTTGATTTTTGATATCGATGACGTCAACTATAGAATTTATTTTACGAAAAAATATATTACTACATACCGAGCTTAAAGTTTCTTTGTATTATGTTGAAATTCATATTATTTGTTTTTGAAGACTACGTAACATATTAGAATTTTGAATAATAATCATATGTATTAAAAAAAATTTATTTAAAAACAAAAATAAAAGAGATAAAATATATAGTTAAAACTATAAATAGCTAACTTTATTTAACAAATTAAACATTCACATAACTTAATTATTTTTCATATCAATGTAATAGCCAAATTATAATATGAATGTCGAACAACTTACCTGTCAATAAATCAATACATACGAATTAGTTGTATTATTTATACGTAACACATTACATGGGACTTAAATTTCGTAAATACTTGAGTATATTAAGATTCCTATGTATTATTTTTTAATTAAGAAACAATTTTGTTGATAACTTTTATTTGATTTTTATGAATAGATTGAATTGATTTGAATAGATTCAAATTAAAATAATTTTCCGTCATAATGAAACTGATAACAATAATGTCAATGAATAAAATGTATTTACTATAGTATATTAACTATAGTATACTAAACTATCCTATATGATTATACTTAATTTAGCTGAATTGAATAATTTGTTACTTAACAATCCGAATGATCTTTTTTTTTTTGCTTCAGTTGTCATAAGTTATTGGTGAATATTGTGTTCCAATTGTAACAATATTTTCATTACTCACTATTTATCAATAAACTTATGATTTTTTGTTAAAAAAGATTTAACAACACATTGAATAACATATTTATGTGTACAACATAGCTATTAAACACATTGAATTCAAACAAAAGATACAAATATACTATATATATATATATATATATAAAAGTTTAATGCCTATAATGTAAAATTTATGAGATTAATATTTGAAAACTAGTTTTATAATGTATATTACGTATAATATCATTACGGGTAGGTAAAAGTGAAATATCAAAACCAATATAGTAAACTAGTTTCTGAACACAGGTTGATTTAAATATACCTGGCTACTGTGAAAAGGTTTTAGCGTTTACCTATATTTACTTAAGACCCACCTAATTATAATAATTATCAAAATCAATTTTTATAAACTAATTTTTCCAAAATGTTAGTAGAAAATAATTAGGAGCTAATAATGGCATTTCTTTAATAGTTGATATTTCATAAATTCCAATAAAAAAATAATTATTAAATGTTTAAATTTATTATTGCATTATTTGAAGGAATCCAATAACGATTAAATTGATAAAAAGTAAAAACTCAGCAGTTCCATATTTAAGTACTTTTTGCTTAAAAAATGTACGAACCTACTATTGAAGTGTCAGGGTCATTTAATCAGACTAATTTCGTAGATATTATCATATACAGACGATATTTTTTTTTTTACTAAACAACTAGCCAAACCGTATGTTTATTATTAATATTATAATAAGGTCCTTGACTCATTCATATATATTGTTATATACCTTTCAAAACCGTAAACTTTTTTACATGATGGGTTAACGCGTAGCCCAGAAAGAACATATTGTTAGTAAGAACCTAATATATCAGTAGACAGTACAATAAATCAACAACTTATATAGACATTATTATATTATTTATTTACTACGTTATGCATAATATTATAATATATTGTTATTGATTGTATGCTTAATTATTTTACCATCTGTACTTTAAACGATTTCATAAATGCACAGATTTTTTGAATTTTGTATTATTTACAGTTCAATAAAAGATAAAATAATTATAATCTAAATAAATAATATATAAATATCGATTTCACTAATTGTATTCTTTATGGTATCATATTAAATATTATATATATTTTAAACGAAAATTATATATAAACCGATTTCCTAGTTAATCGATTAATGTTAAYATAATCTCAAATCTTCTATAAAACAATATCACATCGTCAGATATGAATATTATAATAGTATGAGCCGACTTTTTAAAACTTGTCTAAACAATAATTCATCGTTGTTAATGATTGAAAATACATTTATCCGAGACATGTAATTATATTTAACACAACAATTATTCGGTTGGTGGCATTTAGGTCCAAGCACAGAAAATCATCAAGGTTTTAAACCCTATAATATCTCTATATTATACACAAGAATTTCAATAAAACAAAATCGTTATTTGCAGTATTTTGAGACATTCTCCCGAGTTGAGAGAAAACAAACAAATCCACCAATAATGTTTATTCTATAAAATCCCAAAAGCACTTTGCAATGCACTTCTATTCGAAAAATGTAATATCTATATCACTACGGTACTTATTAATCAATTAAATTTGCATCGCATTAATTGACGCATTTTACATATTTTATGCTTTATACTTAACACTTTTCTCTTTCGTTAAATTTCGATTAGCCCAATCACACGCATAATATTATTATAATATAATATAAAATGTAAAATAGAGACTCATAATGTCATACCTATATTGTAAATATCTTAATTTTATTCTTTTTGTTACACATTTATACATTGTAAATAGTAGGTAGGTAAATATTACATAATTTTAATACCGCATCGTCGATGCTTCGTAAAAATCAAAGTCGAAAACCACACGAATACGACGTGTGAGTGTGCTGAGGGGGTTAAGGGGAAAGAAAGAGGGAGAAAAGTGCGAAGTTGACAAACGATACGTGGTGGCGGCACCTATTTATACTTCCCCTCCGCCGTCATGCATATAAATTCGTCCGGCGCGCACTCTTTCGCACACGCGCGCATCACTCTTCCGAAGACCCGACCGGACCACGAGAGCCGCGCTGATACTCTCCCGGAATCGCATTCAGTGACGTTCGCTGACCGTCACCAGACGTCCAGCTCACTTTAGCACTCACCGCCGCCACAAGTCCACCTGTCAATCACATTTTCTTTTTCTCTCCCCCGCAACAATACAAAGGCACACACAATATTAATATTGATATAATATATTGTATATTCCAATCTTCTGCCCGTCGCTCTGTTATCGTCACCGTTCGGTGTTGCCGATTTCGTTGATAATACCACATAATAATAATATAATATTCACATCCAAACCAGCGATTTCCACAGTCATGTCCACGACAGTTTCCAACGGCAACGGCACTGACGTGGTGAGCTTGCTAAAAAAGAACAAACCTCCGGCGCTGAAGAAACTTGCGTCATGGAAAGACGAAAATGAATTCGACGGCACGGGCAACACGAAAACGCCCAGAACTTCCACCACGCCAGGTAAGACACCGGGTACGGTTACAGCGATTGACTAATATTAATTATAATTATAACAATACCGATAGTTTGGTTTTGGGTATGATATTTTACCATCTATCTATCGTACATTTACGATGACGAATGCGTGGGTAGTTTTAGTTGCATGCTACACATACATACATATACGCATATACCTACAGACTTTTATGGTATGTTTGGACCGTGTATGATAGAGCTCTATTTTTGCTACAATTTAAAGTTAATAGTTTGTGTGTATGTATAACATATGTGTGTGTGTATGTGTGTATGGGTGTTTTGAGATGAAAAATGTATGTCACGAATGTGATTGTGGTCCACAGGTCACGAGAACTGCACGTTTCATCACGACTTAGAGCTGGACCACAAGCCACCCACCCGGGAAGCCCTTTTGCCGGACATGACTGACTCATACAAGATGCTTTTGAGTGCTTTGGGTGAAAACCCCGAGCGCCAAGGGTTGCTGAAGACTCCGGAGAGGGCTGCCAAGGCAATGCTGTTCTTCACAAAGGGCTACGATCAGACGCTAAAGGGTAATTTTATATGGTTTTGATTACTATCATACATGACAATCGTTATGTCAAATACAATAAATTACATATACAGGGTGATTCAACCAGCATTCTTACCACTCTTTTATCTTATAAGTTATAACGATTAATTTCTTCTAATTTCGATTTTTCGAATTTATTAGTAAGATATAAAACAATATTTACAGTACTTACATTTAATTTATGCCAAATAAGGAGTGTTCGTTGGCAATTTGTATTCAAACTTGCATTATTGTAAATTAAATTCCAACGATTTGGTTCTTATGATTTAAGTACTTAAGGTAACATTTCATGAGAATCGTTACAAGTTTAAAAATGTGAGGACTATGATAATTTGAAAATATAATATTTGTTATTAATTCCGTTATAATTTATAAATTTTTTAGACTTTTAATAAATATTACAACTACACTTAATATAAAAAGATATCTTATTCAAATTGKATCAACGTTTTAAAAATAAATCATTTTTTAAAATCCCGACATTTTATCGTTAAAAATTGTCGTTCTTAGTTAAAAAAAGTTATAATTATCATTGGAGACGGCAGTATAACAAGTGACACTGGCATACAAAAAAAACCAACTATTTGAAAGTATGGAATTTAAGTGAAATAAAGGTTTCAAAAATCAGAAATTAAATAACATATTATAAATAGAAAATGGGAGTGAGTGCTAATATGCATGTTGGGTGAATCGTCGACACGGATCCACGGTATATATTCTTATATTGGACGATTTATCCAAACACTTGTAGTGCATTACAATACACATTACATATACACAATAAATAAATATACACTAAATAATATCTATTATCATGTCGGTCTCGACGTCATTATAGATAATTCAAAAAAAAATCCTATTCACAACAATCTACGTTTAGCACAAATCATAAGGTGTAGCTAAGGAACATATTGCAAAATTAGCCTTGCACCGTTGAATATAACTCTCACGCGTGTGAGTACCTATATTATTATTTTATAATATGATAAGATAATTAAGCAGAATATAGTTATTCATTAATTACTGGAATAACGTGCAAGTAGTGTCAAGAATTGTATTAGTTACAGGAAGTTGATATTTATATATGTTTTGTGGTATATGTAGTTGTAAGTGAAGGGGATTATTGTTATAACTATAATATTATCATCAATAGGTTGTTTTGTTTTCCTTTCAATATGTCTGTAGTTTGTGATTCAGTCCAAATAGAAATAAGCATGATATTACAATTTTAAGACTTTATAATATTTCATGTTATATTTTATCTTTCATAAAACAATATATCTTTCTTATCATTAGTTGATAACTTTTTGAAATTTTTGACTATTTTTTAATGTTTGGCATATTTGTTATTATAACTATAAAGTATGAAAATTAAAGTAAATGGCAAATATATATTTTTATAGGTGATATCTAAAGAACAATGATGCAAATAAAAAATCGTTTGGGTCGTTGTGTTTTTTTTTTTAAATTTCAGTGTAACATAATATTATTATGCCATGTATGGAAACAAAAAATTAATTAATTTCATGAATCTAAATAAATTACGAAATGATTCCGTGAATTATAAACTATAGTAAATATACGAAACTAAGTAAATGAACTAAATGTTTATCACACACGATAAAATTACGAGACCAGTTTCACAACAACAAAAAAGTAGGTAATTTTAAGAAGCTTATAGTTAAAAATAAAAATAATACATACATATAGTGGTTTGCCATGGGTATTAGCTTTTTCGTTGACAAACGACTTTCTTGTCTATCTGCAGCTACAACAGCGGTGGACACATTAACACAACTCAGCGTAGCCAATACTCTTTACCTGCCATAATCTTAGGTATAGGTATACCATGGTTATGTGGCACATGGTGGCGTAATAACTATATACGAAAATTAAAAAACAAAAATCTACAGCCGTTGTTATAATATATCGCTTAAAACGTTTCCAATGCAAACCCAACCTTGATATTTTTATTAATGGGTATAGGTACATATGTTATTCTCATTTTAGCCGTTGAATCCTTTTATTTCCAGTACTTAATTTGATTAAAACGGCAAAGTGTCGGAGATTTAGAAAGCGTTTCGCCGTAATTGATTCCGCCAGTTTCTTGAGATAACTTCGTGGCTATCTTTTTGATGTATATACACGTATGTGGAAAAAGGTTTCGCTATTGAATAATACATGAACATAACTGCAGGCCCATTCTTACCCAATCGGCCACCCCTGGCTCTTCAAAATGTGATTTTTAAGTGCATTACTGTGTAATTCGTTAAGCCAGGGAAAAAGTGTAGGGCAAAGCTCAGACATCACATTATGACACATTATATAATACCACGCATATCACTGACGTCGACGTGACGTGACTACCTAAATCACTTTGAACAATAATAATTATTGTTTCAATCGGTGTCTCCTGTACTTTATCAGGGCAAAATAATAGCAGAACAATAAGCGACAACGTGAAAATTGTTTGATTTTGGTCATTTTGCGCACAAAATAATATTTTCCTAAGCAAACAATGTATTACCGCATGCTCTACAATCGAGTTTTAATCGTTAAATTTTAATTTTTCACCACTTATACTATTCAGTAATTGATTATTATAATAACCTGACCTAAATGGTATTATATTTTATTGCAGAGTAGTTTATATAATTTGATTATTATTATTAAATATGTCTTATTATTTTAAGGAGAATTATTAAATGCGACACTACATGACAACATTATTTTATACTTCTATCAAAATACCAAATTTAAATTGAACTCTACATTTACTTATTGACGGTTAATTTGTTTCTCTTTAATCAATATGTATTACTATTAATCATTTCATAATATAATTACCTATAATCGATAAAATTATTTTCACATTTAAATCGAGTTAAATCAAGGGTTTTAATATTATATATTAACATATTAATAAATAAGATATTTAATATAATTTTCCAAATAATTTATTCACCTTCAATTCGAATGTCGGTTCGTTTAACTTAAAACTGTGTAAATAAATGTATTCAATTAAGTTGTTCTATATATACTATTTCCGGAAACCATATAAATCGTAATTTTAAATTATATGTTTTATAATTCAAAACGGTTCGAGTATAATTTTTATGATTTACAACAAATAGAACCATCGTAGATTATTTTTGTTCTGAACTTAATTGTAGGTAAATATTCTTGAAATTTGATCGATGAAGCAACCTTTTAATTCAAGAAAACGCACTTGAACGAATTAAAATTATAAAATTCACTCTCTTGAAAAAAAATGATACGAAATTCTTCTTTAGCTATTAGAAACTGTGTTTTATCTTCGTGTGATACATTCAAAGAGGATAAACTACTAATTTTCTTTTCTGTTGAGATTTGAATTTGGTCATTCGTTTACTGTATTTTTGATTTCATGGAGTTTGGTTTGTGGTCTCAATCAATGGTCTTGCCATTTAATTTGCATAAATTTTATTTTATACAATTTTCACGGTAATCAATGAAAATATGGAGAAACTATGTCTAGGATATAAAAATTAAAAATAAGTAAATAACACTTCAATAAAAAGCAAATACCGTGTGTGCATATGTATAACACTATCTCACCTTGACGATCTCGTATATGTATACGTACCTGCTGGTACATAATTATTTTTATGATTTAACAGTAGCGATAAAAATAATATATGATTGGTGAACATAGATTCATCAACATTTTTATATTAAATAGTGTTATTGGATTTAACGCAAGGATAAAAACGTTGTTCTAAACTTAAATTGCCTGTCAATACTAAATTATTATGAGTAAACATTTTCAATACATACTGTTAGTATAAGCTTATGTCGTTTGTGACGTTGACGTTTTTCGAGAGTGCGGGTGCCGGGTGGGTAAGAACTAATACAATTATAACGCTATAAATTACATCAGGTTCGAGAATATTAAATTCTATCAATACTTTACGGGATAGTTGCTACTGCTGCTGATATATATTGCGAAGCATTCATTAGCTTTTAGTAATTTGATTTTGACGTACAATCTTAGTAAAGTGAATAGTTCACGGGAATACGGTTCSTTTTTAAATACTCATTTATAAATGTATTTTAAACTACCTACCTACATCTATTAAATGTTTCGACGTTAAAACTGCTTTATGGATTTATCATAATATTATTTAATACGTGTCTAAAATATTAAAAATAAAACAAGTAAAACTTATTTTGCAATATTAATAACATTAATTTAAATTTTGGGAAGTGTTAAGAATAAAATATTTTAACTTGCCGAATTCTGTTGCAGCAATCCAAAAAAAGTTGGAAGTTTAAATTGAATTCATATATTATACTAAAAAATCTTTATCTTAAATAACACATAYATTATTAATACTAATTAGTTAGTTATTAGAATAACACAAAAACACTTATTTGAATTCAGAAATATTTACTGAATTCAACGATGCTCCTTAAAATAAAATAAATTAATATTTATTTTTTTTTTTTTTGAGTACCTAGGTTATTACTATAAGTTGTCACGAAGTAAACTAGTTTGCAATAATTTAAATTAATTTAATATATATTATGTAAAAGAAAAAATTAATTGAATATCATTATTACTACAGTACAAACAGTTAAGTATTCAAAAAATTATTTATCAGGCATCAGTATATTATAGCGGTATTGGCTTACCGAAATATTAAAATACCTACAATAATATATGATTAGACATTAGTCATACGAGTAGTGCATGCATTGGACACACGGTATATGGTATCTAGTACCTACATAATAACTTTGAAACCATAAATCGTAATATCCCCAAGTAAATAACAATATGAACGTGTCATTGTTATGTTATATTATATTATAAACATAATAGAATGTGTGATGGTGTTTATATAATAATAATAAATTATTAAAATTTATAATTTATAATATCAATATACTATATAATATAAGTTCTAAGTATCTCCTCTGTTTGTGTTACAAAATAAA